CGGGTTTCTAAACCCGTGGTTGGCACAGCACAGCTAGCCCATTGTGTAGCTTTGTGCATAATTAGAAACAAAGAAACAAAAAATAAACCGTCATATTTTTATTTTTGCTGAATACTTTATGTTTCACGCAGATCTTGAGAAAGACGTAATGACATATTTACATGCAATTCTGATTTGGCTAATGTAAAATAGGGATATACATTGATGTGCCTAAGTAAAAATAACCTAAACTAAATGAACATCATAATAGATAGTTCATATATTGAACCGTAGTTTGTTGTACTTGTTAATCATCTGTGAATTTTACTCGTCAAACCGTAGGAACTACTTTAAAAAAAGGATTAAAAGAGACCAACTTAATGGACATCTGTTTAAGCTAGATAGACTAAAAAAACCTTAATATCTGAATCGGTTCGTTGTTTTGCGTTACAATTTTCTTGTTCTTTGTATTAGTCTTACTTTATCTCTCTTTTGTTCGAAATTAACATATAATCTTGAAAACAATGAAGATTAAGCATGGCTGTTTTTCACAGAATTAATTTACTTTTCTATTAGCATAAGTTTCGAAACTTTTTAAGAAAACAAATAATCTAACTTGGTGAGCTGTAAACTGATAACATTGTTCAGAGAACATTAGGTGGTCCGTGAAATGTGTTTACAGCGGAATGTTCTATTTCCTTGGAAGAAAATCCCTTCTTTCACTGTTGGTGGTGTTTATACACTTCTTCTGGAAGTCTCTCGAACAAATAAGAGCATCGGAAAAATACCAAACTTTCGGTTAAGTTATGACGTGTGTAGATTGATGAAAAAAAAATGAAAGACTCATTAATCCCCGTGTTTTCATTGCCTGCTATCAGATCGATAATGTTGAAGTTCAGAGAAGAACCTTCGACTTAGAACACTTTAAGCTCATGTGCAAAGATTAGAACGCAGATTCCGATATTCGAGGATCACCTGATTTTATTTATTCTAGTACAGCATGCACTGTACTGGCATTACTAACATTACGAATAGGAAAACATCGAGTGAGCTGTTGAGCACAGTTGAATGTATATCTTAGCTAGTAATTTTCAATGTTTTATATAAAATTGAAAATACGAGGAATTTGAAAAACATTCCGAATATATATAAAAAACCTAAAACAGTATTGCCTCTCATTAGCGACTATAAGCATTGACGGGCTGTACAGGTGATACATGATATAACAATTACTTGATTTTCTAAGAAAACATCTATACTCTGTTTATTCCGAAAGCATCAAGAATTATCTGCATAGTCTATAGAAGAATATGAAAAATTAAACATAACAATTTGCTAATTAATATAATTACTTTATTGCTATTTTTCATCCAGGTTTCGTTGAGGTTTTTTTGTGCTTTAGAACTATTAATTGTAATCAAATATATTGTAGTTATTGTTGCTTTTCCTAATAAGTGTAATCATAATGATATTCTCAGGATAATTTTCAACAATGTACACACACGAATCGTCAATAACAGTGAAGAATATTCTGAGAAGCAGCGTTGTTAAAGTTTAGTAAAATAGAAGCAAATGATTTTGACAAAAATACAAGGATTACGTTGTTTTGAGATGACTCAGTGATAAGGTTATAGTGAGAAAGTTCGAACACAAAACACTAATATACCACTTAACCCATGGCCAGGTGGTTAGGGCGCTCGACTCGCAATCTGAGGGTCGCGGGTTCGAATCCCCGTCCCACCAAACATGCTCGCCCTTTCAGCTGTGGGACCATTATAATGTGACGGTCAGTCCCACTATTCGTTGGTAAAAAAGTAGCCCAAGAGTTGGCGGTGGGTGGTGATGACTAGCTGCCTTCCCTCTAGTCTTACACTGCTAAATTAGGGACGGCTTGCGCGAAATCTGTAACAAACAAACAAACTTATTAAAAACTTCTCATCAAAAATGGCCAATGCTGAACAGAAACTGGCGGGAAGTAGTTAACGTTACAAATCAATACAACAAAACCTATGATGATTAAAATGCACTGAATCATCAGAGAACACACTCACTATTAAAGACACTTTCGGCCATAATCCCAATAACATGCCACGAGAACTGACCAGTTTAGCATATTTAAATTGGTCCTTAGTCCATATACTGTAGAAAATAATCTTTATAAGTATAGAAAATAGTTACAAAAAACATATTCGAATTATGTTAAACATTAAAACCAATAATATTAATGAAACTAATTATATAGAAATGTGTAGTACAAAACATACAAAAGCATCAGCCGTTTGCTTCTTAGATCCACACAACTTATTAATACACGAATCCGAAATAAGCGCTTACGTATTAATTAGTTATGCAATCCAACAACAGAAGTTGATGAAAGTTATAAAATACTAAAAATCATAAATTCACATGCACAAACTGCCTACCCAGAGAATTATATGTATGCTCTATTACCGATTATCTAAAAAACGTTGCACCATTATAAACAAATTTCTATATAAGTCACCCATACAAAAACAAGTGACCTTTGAAAACCGACTTATCGACCTCAAAGGTGTAACTTGAAAGACAAACGGTTTCTGACCAGGTTTTTTTAGGCTATAGAGTAAGGAGCAGCAAG